CTGACATAACTGTAACTCTTGTGATTGCCATATCAACAGAGTTGATTGGAATTTGTTTCAATAGAGGTCATGCAAATAAAAACTGTAGACAGTAAAAACAGAATCACAAAATAAAAAAGCATTCATATTTGATCAATACTTGAGCAGTAGCAGTGTGTGGGTAAAATCACTGGGGATGCCAAGCCAAGCCTATAAAAAGCCATAATACAACCTATTTTGTAATATCTGCGTTGTTTGCTCTATAATCCATTTATTCATACGCCACCGTGATATACAATAAGGCCATGACAACAAAAAGACAACTACACATACGTTTGTTTCAACCGGAGAGCAACATCTGTCCAGTGAAGCAATAAAGAAAACCCTGCACGTAACAAACAGTTATATGACCTGCAGCACGGTAAAACAAGTCAAACATTTTGACAGATTACTAAATAACTAGCTACTGATTTAGAACCACAGAGTTACCACAAGTCAGCATAAACTCTCTATCCTCTCTAGCTCTGTCAGGTTGGATGGGGAGCGTCGCTGCACAGCTATTTTCAGGTCTCTCCAGAGATGTTCGACCGGGTTCAAGTCCAGGCTTTGGTTGGGCCACTCAAGGACATTCAGAGACTTGTCCCGAAGCCACTCCTGCGTTGTCTTGGCTGTGTGCTTAGGGTCGTTGTCCTGTCGGAAGGTGAACCTTCGCCCCAGTCTGATATCCTGAGCGCTCTGGAGCAGGTTTTCATCAAGGATCTTTCTGTACTTTGCTCCATTCATCTTTCCCTCGATCCTGAGTAGTCTCCCAGTCCCTGCCACTGAAAAACATTATATTTAAAATTTTTACATTTAGCAGACACTCTTATCCAGAGTGACTTAACGTAGCAAGTGCAAACATTTTCATAATATTTTCATACTGTTCCCCCATGGGAATCTAACCGAAAACCCTGGCATTGCAAGTGCCATGCTCTACCAACTGAGCTAAACATCCCCACTGCCTGATGCTGCCACCACCATTGTGCCTGGTTTCAAGTCTCATAACAAAGGGTCTGAATACTTATGTAAATAAGAAATGTCTGTTTTTTTATTTGTTTATACATTTGCAAAAATTTCAAAAAAATTGTTTTTGCTTTGTCATTATGGGGTATTGTGTGTATTTGATGAGGATTTGTTTTTATTTCATCCATTTTAGAATAAGGCTGTAACGTAGCAAAATGTGGAAAAAGTCAAGGGGTCTGAATACTTTCCGAATGCACTGTATCATGTGGCTGTCCATCGTACTGATTTATGTCTGGGTGTGTGTGTGTGTGCGTGCTTGTGTGCATGCGCACAAAAACAAATAATGTTGACTCACCCTACTTGTAGACTAGTTGAATACCAATGCCTATTCTCTTTCTTTCATGTTGGCAAAACGGTCTATGGCTATGTCCTACAGTCCTCTTTTAGTTTTAGTTTTCATAGGCTACGTTGCTAAAATGCTTGCTAGCTTAACTTCCTTGCATGGGCAAAAATGAATCAGCTAAGCAGCTAGCTAGTTAACATGAGCCTACTAGGCTACATCTAGGCTACATATTGAACTTCAATCGTCTCAGGCCAGTGGCACAAGATATTCATTCATGGTTAGATCAGAATCGCCTTCATAATCATTGGCCTGTACAGAGAATTCAGTCAAAACCACAAGTCCAAATCCACATCTACATCCATGGCTTAGGAAAGGGCTGATTTAGTATTTTGTTCCAGATAGCATCAGATACATGGGCTACACATACTGTTTCCCTCGCACGGATGATTTCTACGTTGAGATTCAGCCACTTGCGAATTGACAGAAAATTATGAAAACACAGACGAACTAAATATACATTATTTTATAATGTAAAAAAATAAATAATAATATTGGTCAAATATGTCTAGAAATGCACACGTTTGTTGCTCTTGTAGGAAGTGATCACTCCCCCATTGCTGACTACACATTATCTATAACGGGGCTAATAACTCACTAACAAGCAAAGGATATGAACAAATGTACAAATGTGCACACGTAGCTACATGTAGCTCTCGCTTTGATCTCAAAATAAGCACATCAAATCAAATCAAATTTTATTTGTCACAGACAAGTGTTTAGCAGATGTTATTGCGGGTGTAACGAAATGCTTGTGCTTCTAGCTCCGACAGTGCAGTAATATCTAACAAGTAATATCTAACAATTTCACAACATATACCCAATACACACAAATCTAAGTAAGGAATGAAATTAAGAATATATACATATATGGACGAGCAATGACAGAGCGGCATGGACTAAGATACAGTCGAATATTATAGAATACAGTATATACATATGAGACGAGTAATGCAAGATATGTAAACATTATTAAAGTGACTAGTGTTCCATTTCTTAAAGTGGCCAGTGATTTCAATAGGCAGCAGCAGCCTCTAATGTGCTAGTGATGGCTATTTAACAGTCTGATGGCCTTGAGATAGAAGCTGTTTTTCATTCTCTCGGTCCCAGCTTTGATGCACCTGTACTGACCTCACCTTCTGGATGATAGCGGGGTGAACAGGCAGTGGCTCGCGTGGTTGATGTCCTTGATGAATTTGTTTGGCCTTCCTGTGACATCGGGTGCTGTAGGTGTCCTGGAGGGCGGGTAGTTTCCCCCCGGTGATGCGTTCGGCAGACCGCACCACCCTCTGGAGAGCCCTGCGGTTGCGGGCGGTGCAGTTGCCGTTCCAGGCGGTGATACAGCCAGACAGGATGCTCTCAATTGTGCATCTGTAAAAGTTTGTGAAGGTTTTAGGGGCCAAGCCAAATTTCTTCAGCCTCCTGAGGTTGAAGAGGCTCTGTTGCGCCTTCTTCACCACACTGTCTGCGTGGGTGGACCATTTCAGTTTGTCAGTGATGTGTACGCCAAGATTCTTGAAGCTTCCACCTTCTCCACTGCGGTCCCGTCGATGTGGATAGGAGGGTGCACCCTCTGCTGTTTCCTGAAGTCCACGATCATCTCCTTTGTTTTGTTGACGTTGAGTGAGAGGTTATTTTCCTCAGAGCCCTCACCTCCTCCCTGTAGGCTGTCTCCTCATTGTTGGTAATCAAGCTTACTACTGTTGTGTCGTCTGCAAACTTGATGATTGAGTTGGAGGCGTGCTTGGCCACGCCATCCTGGGTGAACAGGGAGTACAGGAGGGAGCTGAGCACGCACCCATGTGGGGCCCCAGTGTTGAGGATCAGCGAGGTGGAGATGTTGTTCCCTACCTTCACCACCTGGGGGCGGCCAGACAGGATGCTCTCAATTGTGCATCTGTAAAAGTTTGTGAAGGTTTTAGGGGCCAAGCCAAATTTCAGGAAGTCCAGGACCCAGTTGCACAGGGCGGGGTTCAGACCCAGGGCCTCAAGCTTAATGATGAGCTTGGAGGGTACTATGCTGTTGAATGCTGAGCTATAGTCAATGAACAGCATTCTTACATAGGTATTCCTCTTGTCCAGATGGGATAGGGCAGTGTGCAGTGTGATGGCGATTGTATCATCTGTGGATCTATTGGGGCGGTAAGCAAATTGAAGTGGGTCTAGGGTGACAGGTAAGGTAGAGGTGATATGATCCTTAACTAGTCTCTCAAAGCACTTCATGATGACAGAGGTGAGTGCTACACGGGCGATAGTCATTTAGTTCAGTTACCTTTGCTTTCTTGGGTACAGGAACAATGGTGGCCATCTTGAAGCATGTGGGGACAGCAGACAGGGATAGGGAGAGATTAAATGTGTCCGTAAACACACCAGCCAGCTGGTCTGCGTATTCTCTGATGACTCGGCTAGGGATGCCATCTGGGCCGGCAGCCTTGCGGGGGTTAACATGCTTAAATGTCTTACTCACGTCGGCCACAGAAAAGGAGAGCCCACAGTCCTTGGTAGTGGACCACGTCGGTGGCACTGTGTTATCCTCAAAGTGGGTGAAGAAGGTGTTTAGCTTGTCCGGAAGCGAGACGTCGGTGTCGGCGACGCGGCTGGTTTTCTCTTTGTAGTTCGTGATTGTCTGTGGACCCTGCCACATACGTCTTGTGTCTGAGCCGTTGAATTGCGACTCCACTTTGTCTCTGTACTGATGTTTTGCCAGTTTAATTGCCTTGCGGAATGAGTAGCTACACTGTTTTGTATTCTGCCATTTTCCCTGTCACCTTGCCATGGTTAAATGTGGTTTCAGTATTGCGCGAATGCTGCCATCTACACAACCGCTGAACGGCACAGATCCATACAGTATATGGCAATGGTCTTTTTGCAAAATATAGGCCTACTGCAGCTCTGACTGGTTATGACGCACAGGTCTGTGTAGAGTATGGGCCTGTGTAGTGCATGTCAATCTCCGATGTGTTCTGCCTACAACAAAATATCTTCCATAGTTCATTTTGTTTCAGTATGTTGCATTGAAAGTGGCTAATATTGCGTTGATACGATCACAATTCCCACAGTAAAGGGAAACGTTGATAGTGCTAACTAACAGGGAAAACTCTAGTTGAGTGAAGTTCAATCTGGTGCTTCTCTGCACGGGCATTGCCGGGGAGTGCGCAGTCCCGTGCAGCGCGCAGCTTAGAGGGAACATTGGGTATAACCCTTTTTGGTTCCAGGTAGAACCCTCTGTGGAAAGTGTTTTACATGGAACCCAAAAGTGTTCTACCTGGAACCAAAAGGGGTTGTTCAAAGGGTTATCCTATGGGGACAGCCGAAGAACCCTTTTTAAGTTCTAGATAGCACCTTTTTTTCTAAGAGTGTAACCCTTAAGCCTAAAATAGCATTTTAACAAATTCAGAACATGATAAAAGTCCAGAGTTTTCAACATTTTTATTGTTTTCCTACCTTGTTAGGACATTCTGGTGATTTGTTAGGACATTAGGGTCCTTATAAGGTATACACACACACACACACACACACAGGAACAAACATGCCTGTTTCTGCCTGGAGGGATAGTGGGCCGTCCCTCTCACGCTGCCTGTACCAAGTGTCTCAAGCTCCACTACCACAGGTGAGTTGTTGACATTCATCCAGAGGATATCAAGCAGAAAGGTCCAAAATGGGGAGGTTGTCCTTGCTTCAGCTGATAGTGAGTACAAAACTAGCTTCTACAGAATGCATTGTGCTAAAGTAGATTAGCTTTGATAAAATAGGCACATTTGTCTAAACCAGTGGTTGGAACCAAAATTATTTTCCAATCGTTTCGTTCTGAACAGAACCATAATTTTTTGGGTTCCCTTCCACTGTACCGACCAGCAAAATAAAGTTGTGAACCGTTTCGAACCCCAAAAAAGTAATGTTTAATATCGTTCCTCTCTGTTCTTTTGTAAACATCTGAAATATATATTTTTTTACATTTAGCTTGACATTAAATTGCTTCACCAAAATGGATAGAGAAGCTTGATGTGGAGCGGGCAAGCTATGTACATGCATTGGACAGACAAGTGTAGTGTAGGGTGCGACATGCGACTGAAATATTGCGGGTGAAGAGAGCGCTGGGCATGAATCGCTGGGCATCTTGTTGTTATGACATGCATTATCTGAATTAGGCCCACAGAATTATAGCTACGGAGGATCGGCTTCTATGAAGGAACTTTGAATGTCTTTGAATTTCAGAGAGTTGGTTTAACTAACGTTGGACCAGAGCTAGCCCTTGATCATGAATTTCAGTTCCATTACATTACACATAATGTCACCTAGAGTTTTCGAGAGATAGACCAGAGCTAGCTAACAAGCTTGTGTGTGCGGAGCGGCACCAGAATTAAAATAAAAACACGTCTAACTTTTTTGTAGTTCATAAATACAATGTGAAACGTGATAACTATAATATCGTTAACTAGTATTGAAAAAGTGTATCCATTGTTCTCTAATTAAAATCTCTCTCCCTAATTTCGGAATAACGCCTGTAACGTCAGTAGCTACAGTACACTATGCATGCTTCGGATGGAGGAGGGGGGGTGCAGGTAGCCTACACATACACTGGCAAATATTTTAAGTTGGCAGGCAGGCAGACACTGGAATACATTTCTGAGTGACAGTGAGGGCTTTGCATAGGCTAAACTAAACTAACATATGGAATTGTTTTAAGATGGTCATGCCAAGGATTATTTAGCTATTTGATTTTGAATTTTAAGATCCCTTAAGGTATCAAAAAAATATATAAAAACATTATTGGATGAAACATTGAATTTGGCATTGCTATTAGCCAATACAATCACATTGAATAACAGATTCACTACATGGAATAACAGATAGTCCCAAAAAAAATCTAAAGTGTCTGTCCTATATCTGAGAGATATAAAAAATATCAGAAAACTATATATATACATGTATATACATGTATATACATGTATTCATCCCCCTATTTTAGGCACTAAACTATCTCCATATATACTTCCATTCATTTTTTTATCTGGTACTAGTCACCACTTACTGAATTATGCCAAAGACCTTGTCCTGGAATGTTCATGCAAAACTACTCTCTACTAAAACTACCTGTCTGAGCATGTAGGGAGTTCACTGAGCTTTGAATCAATTATGACTTTGAAAATCTCCCATGATGATTGGGACATCATTGAATGGGTGTTGATAGCTGAGTATGCAGGGTTTCTGGAGGATGAATAAACCTAAAGTCTTTATCAGTGGCCATGGTGGTGAGAATGCAAGTGCCCTCATTTCACGTCATACTCATACACGTCATAACATTCGACAAAATGTAATAGATCACGGATCTATCGAATTGATTTTTTCACTCTGAATGTTTATTCTTTATTGGACTGAGCCACAACTGTCAATGTGTAGAGGACAGCCTTCATTGGGGCGTAGACCCACATTCTCAAACTGCTTTTTAGGTATCACACATGTCAATTGGTTGCAGTAAATATAATCCCAACTCAAATGTTATAAACCTTCACCTTGCCTTCAACCGTAACAGTTTTGCTTAAAGTTTATGATCATGAGAGCGTAATGAGAATGTAATGAAGATGCTGAATTAGATGATAAAACATAACAGAAAGATGATTCAGCAAGGATTGTTCCAAGTATCACTCTTAATTAAAAAAGGGGTGTGAGAAGGGGTGAAGGGGAGAGAGAGAGAGAGAGAGAGAGAGAGAGAGACGTACACACACACACACACACACACACACACACACACACATTATACTGTACAACCCACCCCTCCCACTATGATCATGCCTCCCAGAGGTCTGTCACCTGCAGGGACTCACCTGCGGGCTATTAGGTCAAACCCAGGGTGGGAATATGACTGGATGAATCACACCTTCATCTTTATGTATTTGTTTTACTATGCACACGTGGATATATTCTCTCTAATTGCATGTTTGCACTGTCTGTGTCAGCAGGTCTCCATCATGGTTGCATTAGCACTGGCACAGGATACTGGCAACTATACAATGAACAAGCGGGAAAAGAGGGTATGTCATGGGCATTTCCACAAACATTTGAAAATCATATTTGAGTTTAAAGAAATAGGTACAATGGCCCTTGTCCCCTCTCCTTCCCATGTTGCTTAAAGGAGCTGCTGGTGCGTTCCAAAAGAAGGTGGGTCCTGTCCACCATTGAGTTAGTGGAGGAGGACCCTGGACCTTATCCCAAAATAGCCACACAGGTAAAAACATCATACACCACTAAACAGGGCAAAGCTGTCTAGACATGCTAAGGTACAAAAGCACTGGGCCCATAAATAGTCTATGGTCATTCATCAGAAGAACATTTGCTCCCAACATAACTCTGTAGTAAGTCATACTGTAAACCCTGGACCCGTTTTGGGCTTCTCCTAAACCAGGGACCCACTATTCATAGCCCTGAAAACTGTTCATCAACAAGGCTGTCTTTCCAGATGTTCAATGATAGAACACCAATGATCAGAAACCACCAGTTCCGTATAAGTGGAACCGGAGTGACCGAGGAACCGCTGGGCATATTCACCATCGGCGAGACGGACGGAGTGGTTTACGTACACAAGCCCATCGACAGGGAGACATACCCCATCTTTCACGTGAGCATCAACACACACAGACAAAAGGACGGACAGACAGACGGATGGACGAACAGACAGATTATCAAAAATTTAACCAAACATAAATTAAGAATAATAATATTATTTCCTACAGATTAAGTTTGACATCATGGACAAGGAGACTGGTAATCCCGTGGACACGACTCTGGGGTTCGACGTGGCGATTAAGGACATCAATGACAACGCGCCTTACTTTGAGAACCCTGTCAAGAAAGCCAGTGTGAAAGAAAGTTTACAAGAGGGTCAGTACACACAAAGGCTGTAAATCATATGCCTGCATATAGGCCTTGTACAAAGTATACTTAGCTAGACTGTTCGCAGAAGAACCAATTAGTCATTGTGTACGGCTGAGAAATCAAGTGGCAAGTTGGTGCTCTTTTTGAGCAGAGAGAACATGTAAAGGGTAACTAATTTCCCCTCTTCTCCTCCTCCTCTTCCCCATTATTCCTCCTCATCCTTCCTGTTCTTCCCCTCCTGCCCTCCTCTCCCCCTGTCTCAGGGTATCTGCCAGTGCCTCTGATAGCCATTGACAGGGATGAGGCGAACACAGAGAACTCCACCATCAGTATAAGGGTGTTGTCTCAGGAGCCAGCTGAGCCCAAGATCAACCTGAAGCAGGTGGAGGGCACCAAGATGAGCCAGCTCACCTTCACCGGCTGCTTCGACTATGACGTGAGGCTCCACTACGACACACCCACGCACACACAGACAAGTCATTACGTGCAAACACACACACACACACACACACACTTGACGCACCCATGCACGAACACACACACACAAAACATTATGAACATGACATAGTCTGACCAAGGAAATCCAGGTGAAAGCTATGATCCCTTATTGATTGACCCTTATTGATGTCACTTGTTAAATAAATAAGTGTAGATGAAGCGGAGGAGACAGGTTAAAGAAGGATTTTTAAGCCTTGAGACAATTGAGACATGAATTGTGTATGTGTGCCATTCAGAGAGTGAATGGGCAAGACAAAATATTTAAGTGCCTTTTTGAATGGGATATGGTAATAGCTGCCAGGCTCACCGATTTGTGTCTAGAACTGCAACGCTGTTGGGTTTTCCCATGTATCAAGAATGCTCCACCACCCAAAGGACATCCAGCCAACTTGACACAACTGTGGGAAGCATTGGACTCAACATGTGCCAGCATCCCTGTGGAACGCTTTCGACACCTTGTAGAGTCCATGCCCCAATGAAGGGCAAAAGGGGGGTGCAACTCAATATTAGGAAGGTGTTCTTAATGTTCTTAATGTTCTGAACACTCAATGTACATCTGTATGTAAAATGGTGGGATCAATATTTCATTTATTTTGTTCTTCATGTAGAAAGTAAAGACGTATATAGTGGTTGTTGAAGCTAAGGATCATGGGAAACCAGCCCTGTCCTCAACTGCAGTGGTCAACCTCCAAATAATGGATTCCAACACTCACCAGCCAGTGTTCAAAAACAAGACCGTAAGTTCCAAGTGGATTGATTGGTTGACTGGTTGATTGATTGATTGGTGCAATGATTTGTTGGTTGATTGATCAGTTGATCAACAGATCGATTGAGTGAAAATGTCTTTATTGATTTGTGAAACAAAAATATTTACTTTACCTTCTTTCTTTGCAGTACAATGCTCAGATAATGGAGATGGAATCCAATAAGGAGATCCTCCGAGTGGCTGTGACTGATGAAGACACCCCCAACACCCCCGCATGGCGGGCTGTATACTCCATTGTGAAGGGGAACGAGGAAGGGAACTATAAGATTGAGACCGACCCCAAGACCAACGAGGGTATACTGACTGTCATCAAGGTGAGTCTGTTTGACCTTTTTACCTTATATGAGGTTCGAACATCAACATCACTTACAGATTTGTTATCTTAATTTGATCACCCTGTTGTCGCAGATACTTTTCCAGCACAGCAGTAAATGCAAACTTGTAGTGTATTCAAGATTTTAAAAGGCTTCTAAAGTTTGTAATTTCCACTAATGAAAAATGTATAAACCCCTACAAAAATGACCATTAATTATAATCCACATATTAATTCACATGTCCTGTTGCTGCAGGATTACTTTCCTGCTGTGAGAAACTGTTTTTTTTTGTATTGATTTGTGTTGCTCTAACATAAGTACGGGACTACATTTACCAGGGGAAGGATTTTGAGAAGACGACGTTGACCAACATAGAGATTGCCGTGGAGAACGAGGAGCCTCTGTTTGTGTGTGGCTCGGGAAGGGCCAACTCCCCTAAAACCCTGACCGCGCTCCCCCAGAAAGCGAACGTGGCGGTGAAGGTGATTGACGTGAACGACCCCCCGGAGTTTGACAAAAAGGTGACTGACGTGTACATGATGGAAGAGGAGGAGACAGGAAAGGTGCTGTACAAGCCCAAAGTCACCGATGTTGACTCAGATGTGGGAAAAATCAGGTGGGTGGCAACATGTGATGCCTCAGAAACATCATGATGATTCTTGATTCCCCTGGGTTGTGATATTGATTACCAGAACTTATTTTGCATGTACAGCATGTATTCAAAGTAAGCAGCTGGCTGTCTGTCCCTTCCATGTCCTGACCAGGTATGAGTTAGTTGAGGACCCAGCAGGCTGGGTCACTATAGATAACAAGACAGGAGTGGTTACTACAGTAAAGAAGATGGACCGGGAGTCACTTCACGTCAACAAAGACAACATTTACACTATCATAATCCACGCCATAGATGACGGTTAGTGTGTGTATGTGTGCGTTTGTCTGTCTGTGTGTGTTTGTGTGTGTGTGTGTGAGAGTGTTTGTGTGTGTGCCTGCGTGTGAACATGCATGTAACTGTGTGTGTACGTACGTATGCATATGTGTATGGTATTGTGCATAATAAAGTATTTAAAGAATCTCTTCCTCTCTCAGGCCAGCCCCCTGCCACGGGTACAGGCACTATTCTGGTTCACCTGGGGGATCTCAATGATAACATGCCCTCTGTGGTGGAGAAGGAGCTGGTCATGTGTGGTAACAAAGTGATTGTGCCGGTAGTAGACAAGGACAAACCTCCCTTTGGATGCCCCTGTACCTTCTCCCTGGGAGACAATGGAGACAAAACACTGAAGAGCCACTGGAAACTGGACCCTGCCAATGGTCAGCAGAATCACACACACCCATAAACACACGCACTACACCCACATACCAAAGTACTGCTTTTATCTGGATATATAGTCATCTACTATCTCCACACAACCTGCTAAACTAAAAAATACCATTAATCAGATGTCAGATCCTTTGAAGCAGCATATAATTAAATATAATATAAACTGGGTTGTTCGAGCCTTGAATGCTGATTGGCTGACAGCCATGGTATATCAGACTGTATACCCATTTATAATATCAATAAGGCACCTCGGGGGTTTGTGGTATATGGCCAAAATACCACGGCTAAGTGCTGTATCCAGGCACTCTGGGTTGCGTCATGCATAAGAACAGCCCTTAGCCGTGGTATATTGGCCATATACCACACCTCCTCGGGCCTTATTGCTTAATTCACCCCCTACCTTCTTTTCCTCTCCTTCCACCACTCTCCCTCTCTCTCTCCCCGGTGGTCAGGTATGGAGGCGGGTCTGGTCAGTCTGAAGAGCCTGCCTTACGGTAACTACACAGTGCCTCTGGTGATCCTCGACCAGCAAGGCCAGGTGGGAAAGGACATTGTCCAGGTGATGGTGTGTGACTGTTGGAAAGGAGACAAGTGTAGGGCCTCTCTGCCCCGGAGCTCCATCCTGGGCCCTGCCGCTATAGGACTACTGCTGGCTGGACTGCTGCTCCTCTTATGTGAGTTAGAAGAGAATAGGTATGGAGTACTGTATATAGGGATAAGGGATAGTTAGAGAGTAGGTGGATAATCAGTAAGTCAGTTACTCAGACACTCTTAGAACAGTGCTTTTGGCCTGAAAGTGAGTGAGAGACATCAATTCAGTCTAAACCAAATCACATCTATGAAATTGAGAGCAAACTTTTGATGCAATATTGTTATTAAAACATGTTGATAGATAGCAGTGCTACAACATGCTATGAAATGTTATAAAAACATGACTTTAAACATTCATTAGTTTTTTGTATGGTAAAATGCTATGAGATGTGACTGTTAGTAGTGACTCTGTGGTTGTGTCCCTCTCCCAGTGCTACTGCTTTTCCTCCTGCTGTGCGAGTGCGGTGGTAAGACGTTCACACACCTCCCCCTCAATCTGCAAGACGAGGGCAACCAGACTCTCATCAAATACAACGAGGAGGCAGGGGGCAGCGCATGTAAGGTGTGTGTGGGTGTATATGTTAACGTGCATGCATGCAGGTATATCTACAGTATTTGTGCCGAATGTACACATTAAGCTATGTGCATTGTCAGGGTATTTAGCAAGACAGGAGTGTACAATACAATCCCTTTCTGAGCTGTCATGTGTAGGGTTGCAAAGGGAGGGTATATTACTAGAAACTTTCTAAGTTTACCAGTAAACTACCAGATTTTTGGTATCTTTCAAGGATTTTATGTAATCTATCACAAGACATCTAGTGGCCCTTTTGGGTACTTCAGAATATCATAAGTGTCTGTAATTATCTCTGGCCCTCTGTGTGGCCTTATCACATCTACAATACATGAAGTAATTAAATAAGATGATTTTAAAATAAAAAATAGAATGACAAAGCTGTTAAACATTATCCTAAATATAAACCCTCAATTTAGTGAATACCATTGGTGTTTAATATGAGGGTTTCAGCATGAAATGTTTTTTTAATACACTTTTATTTATTTGACTATGTCAATATGTAGTTGCTGTCAATGTTTTGGGGTCAAACTGGTGGCTGTTGTGAAAAAAATAGTTTGAAAAAAATAGTTTGACAAGTTGCAGAGGTAATTGAAAATAATGCCATTGTTGATAAGATGCTTTTTTCATGAATTAGGCTATTTTCTTTTTAACCATATGGTCTATCTACTAGAAACTCATGGACAATATGTATATATATTTTTAAACTCTATATGAATACATTTAAGTTATTCAAGTATAAATGACCAAAGTTACAATAGACTGCCATAGATGTTCTGTTAATTATCTAAATGACTGAAGATGCTGGTAGCTTTGGTAAATCACCAGTAGCTTTGAAACCCTAGTCATGTGCTTATATCATTGTTGCCATTGAGTCTGGGTATGACAGGTATTTACTGTTGGCAAGACAGGTGTTCTTCCTCTGGTATGTGAACAGTTTGTACTCTGACATGATGTTTAATCTTGTAATAACTATAATAGTTCTAGTCATTTCCTCACCTCTTTCCTCTCCTCTGCTATCCTAAACTCTTCTTCTTTTCCAATCCTCTCTACTTACCTCTCCTGTTTATCTCTCTTCCACTCTGATAACCATATCCTTCTTCTTTCCCCTCCTCCTCTCCCTCTCCTCCTGTCCCTACCTTTTAGGGTGAGCCCATGTTGATCCTGACCCCCACCACTCCTAACAGAGAAGTGGCAGATGGAATGAAGCAGGCCACCCCAGGCATACCGGTAAACTGGCCACTATCCTTACTTTCATCTCGTCTTCTTTTTCATTCTTTCTGTAACTCATCTCTTTCTGTGTAAAAAAAACAGTCTATGGTCAACACACTGTCTGAGGTTTTTCAATGCCATGTCTGTGGGTGTGTTCTGCACAGTTAGGAGGAGTTGTGTGAGAGAGTGTGTGAGATGTCATATGATGGAGGAACAAGTCATTAATAACATGACAGTTACAGGTAATTAGTGGCTTCTGTGTAGGGTGTGTACTTCCCTCTAATATCTACTGTATGTATGGTAAGCACTGAATGAAGCAGGTTCGGTCACTATTAGCATAACTTAGTTTATATAGTACCAATGAGAGAGTAAAATAGCTCACATCCATGATTTGGGTGTGACTCATGAGCACATGTACCACATGCAGAGTGAGTAGGCCTACAACACTGACCACATTCTCCAAACCACATTTACAGTTGAAGTCGGAAGTTTACATACACGTAGGTTGGAGTCATTAAAACTTATTTTTCAACCACTCCACAAATTTCTTGTAAACAAACTATAGTTTTGGCAAGTCAGTCTACTTTGTGCATGACACAAGTAATTTTTCCAACAATTGTTTACAGACAGATAATTTCACTTATAATTCACTGTATCACAATTCCAGGGGGTCAGAAGTTTACATATACTAAGTTGACTGTGCCTTTAAACAGCTTGGAAAATTCCAGAAAATGATGTCATGGCTTTAGAAGCTTCTGATAGGGTAATTGACATCATTTGAGTCAATTGGAGGTGTATCTGTGGATGTATTTCAAGGCCTACCTTCAAACTCAAAAGAAATCAGCCAAGACCTCAGACATTTTCTTGTAGACCTCCACAAGTCTGGTTCATCCTTGGGAGCAATTTCCAAACACCTGAAGGTACCATGTTCATCTGTACAAACAATAGTACGCAAGTATAAACACCATGGGACCATGCAGCAGTCATACCGCTCAGGAAGGAGACGCGTTCTGTCTCCTAGAGTTGAACGTACTTTGGTGCGAAAAGTGCAAATCAATCCCAGAACAACAGCAAAGGACCTTGTGAAGATGCTGGAGGAAATAGGTACAAAAGTATCTATATCCACAGTAAAACGAGTCCTATATCGACATAACCTGAAAGGCCGCTCAGCAAGGAAGAAACCACTGCTCCAAAACCGCAATAAAAAAGCCAGACTACGGTTTGCAACTGCACATGGGGACAAAGATCGTACTTTTCGGAGAAATGTCCTCTGGTCTGATGAAACAAAAATAGAACTGTTTGGCCATAATGACCATCGTTATGTTTGGAGGAAAAAGGGGTAGGCTTGCAAGCCGAAGAACACCATCCCAACCGTGAAGCACGGGGGTGGCAGCATCATGCTGAGGGGGTGCTTTGTTGCAGGAGGGACTGGTGCACTTTACAAAATAGATGGCATCATGAGGAAGGAAAATTATGTGGATATATTGAAGTAACATCTCAAGACATCAGTCGCAAATGGTCTTCCAAATGGACAATGACCCCAAGCATTCTTCCAAAGTTGTGGCAAAATGGCTTAAGGACAACAAAGTCAAGGTATTGGAGTGAACATCACAAAGCCCTGATCTCAATCCTATAGAAAATGTGCGGGCAGAACTGAAAAAGCGTGTACGAGCAAGGAGGCCTACAAACCTGACTCAGTTACACCAGCTCTGTCAGGAGGAATGGGCCAAAATTCACCCAACTTATTGTGGGAAGCTTGTGGAAGGCTACCCGAAACGTTTGACCGAAGTTAAACAATTTAAAGGCAATGCTACCAAATACTAATTGAGTGTATGTAAACTTCTGGCCCACTGGGAATGTGATTAAAGAAATAAAAGCTGAAAGAAATCATTCTCTCTACTATTATTCTGACATTTCACATTTTTAAAATAAATTGGTGATCCTAACTGACCTAAGACAGGGAATTTTTACTAGGATTAAATGTCAGGAATTGCGAAAAACTGAGTTTAAATGTATTTGGCTAAGGTGTACTGTATGTAAACTTCCGACTTCAACTGTACCTGTCCCTACCTGTCTATCTGCTACAGAAGTAGGATTCTAATTTGAGCCAGTTTGCTACAGCTGGAAAATAATCCTGCAGCAACAGGAAATGTGAATTGTTATGTGGATTATAATTAATGGACATTTTTGTAGGGGTTGATAGATTTTTGTAAGGGAAAATCAAGTCTGAAATTTCAAAGTTGAAATTACAAACTTCCGAAGCCTTTTAAAACCTCAAATACACTACAAGTTAAACCTTTCCTGCATCGCAGGAAAGTTGTCCTGCAACAGGGTGATCAAATGAAGATCCTACATCTGTACTACACCACTTAATTTAGCCACCATTAGAGAACTGCTACTCCACATATATCATATTATGTGCATGGCGCTTACAATGCGAGGGTTGTGGGTTTGATTCCCACGGGGGGACCAGTAGGGAGAAAATAAAGTAAGAAATGTATGAATTTACTACTGTAAGTCACTCTGTAAAAGAGTGTCTGCTAAATTACTAAAATGTAAATATAATTGTATCCTTAATTCTGTCACCACCAACAACAAGACTAGTTACTATATATGTAATCTTCCACCATCTCACTACAACACTCTGATCACAGTCTAAATCACTGTTGTTTATGCTGTGCTTGATTCTCTGCTCTCTGATTGGACAGTTTACTCAGAAGACCAACGAGATGACGCAAGAGACCAATGAGATGTACAGAACCACAGGGAGGACCATTGTGAGTGACATCCTTGCTGACAAACATGATTTTCAAGCATTGAAGTTTCAGCCTTAGGTCCACATAATGGAAACATCAATGCTTTGTTTTAAAACTTTTTTTTAAAGTATGTGTTTTTAAATACCTTGAAATAGTTTTCCTTTCTTTAGAAATTTCCATTTTGGATGTATCTCATCTCTAGTTGATGGAAGTCTCACATCACATCATTTTTAAAGCAGATAATCAAACTGTGTTTGGGCAGTGTGGAATACATGCAGTTCATGCCTGCCCTTGTTCACAGCTCAATCTGAAGTGTGGGAAACTTAGTTTTAGGGAAGATATTAGCCTATGGCAAAATAACTCAAATGCAAATGTTTTATCTAGCTTGAACCAGTTGTACTGTCCCAACTGTTCAATAGCACTGAATAGCATTGTCTTTGACCTTTGTCAACTATTTGTGAGAGACGTTTCAAAGACTGAAGATCTTAAATGCTTTTCCTACCTGTCTCAGTGGTATACTTTCCATAGTTGAACATTGTGTGGTACTACATCACAGTGTGCATAACACAATTTAACTCTTCATAATCCTCAGTTATGCTTTCATTTTGTACTTTGTGCATTTCCCCTTTTACTATGTCTTTATCTAACATGCTCATATCATGGTGTTACTTAGCGCAAAAAAATGGTGGTGACAACAGTGGTACACAATTCAGTCAGCTGATGGAGTAGGGCATCAGTCTACATTATAATGTATATAACCTTTCAAGTTTCAAGTTTTCAAGTTTTAATGTCACATGCACAAGTACAGTGAAATGCCTTTCTTGCAAGCTCTAAACCCAACAATGCAGTAATCAATAACAATGTAATACTAAAAAGAACATACGGTAGAACAAAAACACACTATAAATAAAAATAAGAAATAAGAAGAACATGAGAAAGTAAGTAAGCATACTATATACAGGGTCAGTTCCAGTACCATATTTACAATGTGCAGGGGTACTGGATCGATAGAGGTAGATTATGTATAGGGGTAAGGTGACTAGGCATCAGGATATATGATAAACAGAGTAGCAGCAGCGTATATGATGATTGTATGTGAGTGGGTGTGTGTAGAGTCAGTATAAATGTATGTGTGTGTGAGCAAATTATGGAGTGAGTGTTTGCGTGTGTTGGAGTGTCAGTGTGCGTGAGTGTGAAGGGCCCTGTGGGTGTGCATAGAGACAGTGCAAAACTAAAAATAACTAAAATACAAGGGTCAACTCAGTGCGTTTAGCCATTTAGTTAGCTATTCAGTTAGCTATTTAGCAGTCTTATGGCTTGGGGATAGAAGCTGTTCAGGAGCCTGTTGGTGTCAGACTTGATGCACCGGTACCACTTGCCGTGCGAAAGCAAAAGCAGAGAGAACAGCCTATGGCTTGGGTGGCTGGAGTCATAAATGATTTTCCAGGCCTTCCTGATATAGAGGTTCTGGATGGCAGGGAGCTCAGCCCCAGTGACGTACTGGGCTGTTCACACCACCCTCTGTAGCGCCATGCGATCGAGGGCGTTGCTATTGCCATACCTGGCAGTGATGCAGCCAGGCAAGATGTTCTCAATGGTACAGCTGTAGAACTTTTTGAGAATTTGAGGGCCCATGCCAAACCTTATCAACCTCCTGAGGTGGAAGAGGCGCTGTCGCCATTTTAAGTCCTGAGTGATTTGGACACCAAGGAACTTGATGCTCTCGACCCGCTCCACTGCAGCCCCGTCGAAGTGGATGTTGGCGTGCTCGCCCCCCCCCCCCGTTTCCTGTAATCCACGATCAACTCCTTGGTCTTACTGACACTAAGGGAAAGGTTGTTGTTTCGGCAACACACTGCCAGGTCACTGACCTCCTCCCTGTAGGCTGTCTCATCATTGCCGGTGATCAGGCCTACCTACGTTGTGTCGTCAGCAAACCTGATGATGGTGTTGGAGTCGTGCATGGCCACGCAGTCGTGGATGAACAGAGAGTACAGGAGGGGACTAAGCACACACCCCTGTGGGTCCCCCGTGTTGAGGGTCAGCATGGCGGAGGTGATGTTGCCTACCCTCACCAACTGAGTGTTCAGTCCCAGGGTCCTAAGCTTGGTTACGAGCTTAGAGGGGACAATGGTGTTGAACGCTGAGCTGTAGTCAATGAACAGCATTCTCACATAGTTATTCCTTTTATATAGGTGGGTGAGGGCAGTGTGGAGTGCAATTGAGAATGTGCCACCTATGGATCTGTTGGGGCGGTATACAAATTCGAATTGATGTGTGCCATAACCAGCCTCTCAAACCACTTCATGATAACATATGTGAGTGCTACAGGATGGTAGTCATTGTGTCATGAAGCCGTAGAGTTCTTGGGAACAGGAGTGATGGTGGTTATCTTAAAACATGTGGAGATTACAGACTGGAACAAGGAGAGGTTGAAAATTACTGTGAATGTGCCTGCCAGCTGTTCTGTGCATGCTAGATCACCCAATCATCTGGGTCGGTGGCAGCCCTCACACCCGGCACAATTTTGCTATTGTCGAAGCGTGCATAAAATGCATTAAGTTCGTCTGGTAGAGAGGCATCGTTGGGCAGATCACGGCTGGGTCTTCCTTTGTAATCTGTAATGGACTGTAGCCCCTGCCACATGCGGCGGGCGTATGAGCATGTGTAATATGATTAGTCCTATATTGTCCTTTTGCTCGTTTGATGACTCTGTGGAGGTCATAGCGAGACTTTTTGTACTTGTTCCTGTCCTCAGTCGCAGCCTCAGGGTTGGCTGCGATAGCCCTGGCCTTTAGTTTGGGCCAACTTCAGTGTTAATCCAAGGCTTTTGATTGGGGAAGCAGTGAACCTTCCCTGTGGGGACAACATCGCCAATACATTTCCTAATGAAGCCGGTGACGGAAGTGGTTAGCTTGTTGATGCTATCGGCGGAGTCTCAAAACATATTCCAATCAGCGCTAGCAAAGCAGTCCTGTAGCATAATCTCTGATTCTGGTGACCATTTTTCAATGGAGTGAGTCACGGGTACTTCCTGTTTGAGATTCTGCTTGTAAAATGGAAGCAGGAGTGCGGAGTCATGATCTGATTTGCTGAATGGTGGACGAGGGAGGGCCTTGTATACTTGCTTGTGGGTAAAATAACAGTGGTCTATGACTTTATCGCCCCTAGTGGTGAGGGAGACGTGTTGATGGAAGTTGGGCATCTTGTCCGAAAGCTATGTTTCAGAAAAGCAGAGAATATTGCAGTTTTGAGAATCATGTTAGTAGCAAATTATTATCAAGTGATTATCAAGTGACATTGGCCAGTACAATGGAGGGAAGAGGTGGCCGGTTTTCCCTTCGCCTTAATCTCTTCAGGATCCCCACTCTCTTGCCTCTGTAATGCCAGTGTTTCCTCTTGGTTAGCCCGAAAATTGGGTCGGAATTACAAAAAGAGCCCAGGGCAGATGAGTTGAAGTTGAAGCCTGAATTGAGGTAAGTAACTGCCGATCTGATGTTCAAAAGTTATTGTCGGTTGTAAGAAATTATAGAGGATACATTTTGTGAAAATAAAGTAAAAATGAACGACAAAAGAATCACAAAATAGCAAAGTTGGGTCAGAGCTTGCAAAACAGCAGCCATCCAGTACAGCTCCATCTTAGCAGCAGTGCCCATGTCTCAGTACTCAACCTCCATCTCTCCCCATGTCACCCAGGTGTCCTCCTCAGGAGAGGGAGGGTTCTCTGGAGGGGGAACATTCCAGAGAATGGGCGAGGCCAATGGAACTCTGAGAAGCCAGGGTGGGCAGGGCATGGTGAGTGACATCTGCAGGCAGGCACTAGGGGACAACATAACCCTCCTTTTATTTATTTTTTACTTTAGTGTTGTATAATTCGACAGTTGTATAGACACAATTTATGACAGGTTATTACAGATTAACTACAAGTTATCAAGGTTTTATACAGTGAAGTGGGTGCATTAATGCAGTCGATCATTATAATAGCAACAATATGAATGTGTATTTTCTAATTGCAGTACCAGACTACAAGCAGGAACAATACCATGAGGGTAAGTGTTGCCTGTGCACTATCAGGATCTGGTCTACTTGACACCACACCATTGACACATACATACACACTACATACACTGTTGTTCCTCCGTTAATCATCCATGTTTGTTTTTCTGTGTTTTCTCCGCTCTCTCCTCAGAGTAACTCTTCAAGGCATTCCCGCTCCTTTGGCCTGCTGTCGAACCAGCACATCTCAGAGCACATAGACCGGGTAAGAGACCTGTCCCTCAGCAGCACAGCCATTACAGAACCGCTTGTGTGTACACTGGCCCTCAAGGGCCCCAGAGAGGGAAATGTGCTCCCCAGAGAGGGAACCACCTCGTGGCAGCCCCTGTATGATCCCATAATGAGATCCCTAATCCTCACTTAGCACAACTCCTTTGTATTAGCCTGATAGAGGGTTGTGTAACACCAGGTGTTGGTGAAATACAAGGGCTTAAAATATCAGACATAACACGTATGTGACATTCCCACGGGGGTATGAAAATGCTAAATGACGTAAATGTAAATGTAAAAAATGTCATGGTGACACGTAGAAAAAGTTACATACATTAGCCTATGGTGTGAGAAGAGAGACAGACATTTAGGTAAGGATGTGTATGATGCACCATGTCGTCTTGAAAACAAGAACTAATGGTGGTAATATTTGTCTTATCGTTAATACAAATTCTGCAATGTAAGAAGTATCCCTCTGTTGGATCTATTATATATAAATAGCCTACTTTTTTAGTTGATAGTATTGAGAGTTTTATAAGATCTTGTAGAATATCATTCAAATATGATTTAAGAGAACTTTAAATGGTATATAGATAACGTCCTCTAACATTGACACATTGGTTCTTCAGAAGCTGCATATGATTGGAGAAGAGGTGGACTACCAACCCTACGAGTATGGCTACGAGGGGACAGGCAGCAAGTGCCAGTCGCTGGACGAGCTGTCGCTAAGCAACCTGGATGACAACCTGGAGTTCCTGGGGGACCTGGGTTCAAAGTTCAACACCCTGGGGGGCATCTGTCGGCAGGACATGCAGGAGAGGAACATCAGGCTGTAGGCACGCACATGAACGCACGCACACGCACACACATAAACACAAACACAAACACAAACACACACACACACACACAACTGGCTGGACTGGAGATTGTTCTTACGTCTGTCATCTATGCCACATAAATTGTTTTTTTTTAAACATCTTTTTGGGGGGTGGGGGGGGGGGGCTTGCTCGGACCTTGCGAAACTGAGCTACGACACTGATAGGGTGAGGGTCAACAGTTGGAGAAGAGGACACCTAACATTGTCCATTGAGATTTTGGATCATGCTTTGCGTTGTATACAACAGAGGGACAGTTTCTTACCGGCCAAAACCGTGCTGGATTGGCTTTTACCCACACAAGGAGGGACTGAGAGAGATATTTTTGATAGTTTGGCTGTCTGAAGACACAATGAATAATGACCTCACTGCGCTGAATAAACCGCATCATGCTCGGATGGCTTTATGGATTTCTGTTTTGACAGGGCCGGGTTGTGTTTGTATGGTGATTGTTTCGCAGTGGTGTAAAGTAAGTACTTAAGTAAAAATACATTAAAGTACTACTTAAGTAGTTTTGGGGGGTAACCTTATTTTACTTTACTATTTATATTTTTGACAACTTTTACTTTTACTCCACTACATTCCTAAAGAAATTAACTCCATACATTTTCCCTGACACCCAAAAGTACTCGTTACATTTCGAATGCATAGCAGGACAGGAAAATTGTCCAATTCACACACTTATCAAGAGAACATCCCTGGTCATCGATAATGCCTCTGATGTGGCGGACACACAAAACACAAATGCTTCTTTTGTAAATAATGTCTGAGTGTTGGTGTGTACCCCTGGCTATCCGTACATTTCACTGGGTGACTTTCACGTTTACTTGAGTCATTTTCTGTTAAGGTTTCTTTACTTTTACTCAAGCATTACAATTGGGTACTTTTCCACCACTGTTGTTTTGTTGTTTTATATGTTTTTTATCATCACGCTTCACAGTACTTTTCAACAGCAGCTTATCATCTCTTGATCTACTGGTGATGCCAGAATAGGAAACGTCAACATCACTTCTGTTGGAGCTTTACTATTGTGTGAATGGTACTTCATAACCTCTCTCTGCTTAGGATAAGGATTTACACAATTTCTTGACCGCCATGGAGTAGAATCCCACAAGATGTGTGGTAGGATGTGATTGGGACACAGCAGACTCAGGAGAACAATTGATAGCTATTTTGGAATCATCACCTAAACTGCAGAAAAGTGACAATGCCTAACCTTGGCTAATGTGAGAGCCTGGAACCAATGTGTGCCCTGTCCTCACCAAACCTTTGAAAGCAATCAAAGCTGTGCAGTTGTGTATCCTAAACATAACATAAAGGTTCACTGTATAATACTAGACTTGGTTTCCTTCATTTTGCGCACTAGTTTTTTTTTCTTTTTGACTTACTTCTCTTTTAGTCTCTGCTAACGACCACTGCTATGCCGGTTTTGTATCAAAAGTCAATATATCAACATGTTTTTGTTTATATTTCAAATTTGATTAAAGTATGCATGTCATGGAAAAGTGTCTCCGTATCTTTCAGCCATACCTCACAACAAGTAAGATTATATAATGATCCTAAATGGATAACTTAAAACTTGTAATGTATTTGAGGTTTAAAAAGGCTTCTGAAGTTTGTAAATTCCACGTTGAAATTTCAGACTTGATGTTCTCTTATGAAAAATATATCAACCCCTACAAAAATGTCCATTAATTATAATCCACATAATAATGCACATTTCCTGTTGCTGAACGATTAATTTCCTGCTATAGCAAACTGGCTCAAGTTAAGATCCTAAACTTGTACCCATATCTAACCATTAGTTTCTTTTACTGTCAAAGTGATGGCATGAGATAAAAAACAGACTCCAAGCATAAGTCTTTCTCCTGTGTTATCTATACTGAGGTGAACTCATGAAGAGATGTTCACACCCTTACACATTTACTGACGTCTTTTATTTTATTAAACACACGCAGCTTTATAACTTGACTCATTAAAATGAGATTTAACCTTGGCCAAATTCATATGAACTTCACTTTCAATGGGTCTGCTGGTTTGATATATCATTCTAATGATCCCTCAGCAAACTGAGTCTGAATCATGCAGATACGATATGCTCTGACCTACCCTCACTGTTGATGCTACAGACAAAGTGGCGCAGTGGTCTAAGGCTGTGCCACTAGAGATCCTGGTTCGAATCCAGGCTCTGTCGTAGCCGGCCGTGACCGGGAGACCCATGGGGCGGCGCACAATTGGCCCAGCGGGTAGGGGAGGGAATGGCCGGCAGGGATGTAGCTCAGTTGGTAGAGCATGGCGTTTGCAACGTCAGGGTTGTGGGTTCGATTCCCACGTGAGGCCAGTATGAAAAAATTATGTATGCACTCACTAACTGTAAGTCGCTCTGGATAAGAGCGTCTGCTAAATGACGTAAATGTAAATGTAGAACTGGTTCTGTAATACTACAGAATAGAAGAGTGGGGAGACCTAGAGTGGGTAGAGGTGCGCCACAAGACTTGATTCTGCAAAGGTTGTAACATATAAAAAACAATATGCACACAACATCAAGCACTATATAATATTGTCCTTAATGTTGCAGTAGAGCTTGACTATGGTTATTAATATATACTGGAGTATACTAAGCTCAACTTTATCTAATACATATTATAAGCAGAGGATTGATAATGAGCTAACAGTTTGATTTGTTTATAATACATCTGCATTTGCTAGTAACCCATTTTCTACTAGTAACATTATTGCAACTACATTGCAAGGCCTAATATTTTCTATACAGTATCCACCCTCTACTGTAAATGACATTGAGGCTGAATTCACTGGACGTCTGGGATGGACTGGGAAAATAATTCAGCCCTGGCATTTTATCCTCACCAGCCCACATCACTGTCTGTGGCACCAACTCATCCCAATATATAGAGTACCAGTCCAAAGTTTGGACACACCTACTCATTCAAGGGTTTTTTCTTTATTTTTACTATTTCCTACATTGCAGAATAATAGTGAAGACATCAAAACTATGAAATATCACACATGGAATCATGTAGTCACATATGGAATCATGTAGTAACCAGAAAAGTGTTAAACAAATCAAATAGACATCCCTTTCATTGAAGACAGCTTTGCACACTCTTGGCATTCTCTCAACCAGCTTCACCTGGAATGATTTTCCAACACATATGCTGAGCACTTGTTGAATGCTTTTCCTTCACACTGCCATCCGACTCATGCCAAACCATCTCAATTGGGTTGAGGTCGGGGGATTGTGGAGGCCAGGTCATCTGATGCAGCACACCATCACTCTCCTTCTTGGTAAAATAGCCCTTACACAGCCTGGAGGTGTGTTGGGTCATTGTCCTGTTGAAAAACAAATGATAGTCCCACTAAGCACAAACACGATGGGATGACGTATTTCTGCAGAATGCTGTGGGAGCCATTCTGGTTAAGTGTGCCTTGAATTCTAAATCAATCACAGACAGTGTCACAAGCAAAGCATCCCCACAACATAACACCTGGTCCTCCATGCTTTACGGTGGGAAATAGACATGCAGAAATCATCTGTTCACCCACACCGCTTCTCACAAAGCCACAACGGTTGGGACCAAAAATCTCAAAGTTGGACTCCAGACCAAAGGACAAATTTCCACCGGTCTAATGTCCACTGCTCGTGTTTCTTTGGCCAAACAAGTCTCTTCTTCTTATTGGTGTCCTTTAGTAGTGGATTCTTTGCAGCATTTCGACCATGAAGGCCTGCTTCACACGGTCTCCTCTCAACAGTTGATGTTGAGATGTGTCTGTTACTTGAACTCTGTGAAGCATTTACTTGGGCTGCAATTTCTGAGGCTGGTAACTCTAATGAACTTATTCTCTGCAGCAGAGGTAAAGTTTTGGAAATGTTCCGTATTGACTGACCTTCATGTCTTAAAGTAATGATGGGCTGTCGTTTCTCTTTGCTTATTTGAGCTGTTCTTGCTATAATATGGACTTTGTTTTTTATCAAATAGGGCTATCTTCTGTATACCACCCCTACCTTGTTACAACATAACTGATTGGCTCAAACGCATTAAGAAGGAAAGAAATTCCACAAATTAACTTTTAACAAGGCACACTTCTTAATTGAAATTTACATTTACATTTAAGTCATTTAGCAGACGCTCTTAATATCCCATAATAACCCCATAATAACGAAGTGAAAACAGGTTTTTTGACATTTTTGCAATTATATAAAAAATATACCTTATTTACATAAGTATTCAGACCCTTTGCTATTAGACTCAAAATTGAGCTCAGGTGCATCCTGTTTCCATTGATCATCCTTGAGATGTTTCTACAACTTGATTGGAGTCCACCTGTGGTAAATTCTATTGATTGGACATGATTTGTAAAAGCACACACCTGTTTTTATAAGGTCCCACAGTTGACAGTGCATGTCAGAGCAAAAACCAAGCCATGAGGTCAAAGGAATTGTCTCTTGAGCTCCGAGACAGGACTGTGTCGAGGCACAGAACTGGGGAAGGGTACCAAAAGATTTCTGCAGCATTGAAGGTCCCCAAGAACACAGTGGCCTCCATCATTCTTAAATGGAAGAAGTTTGGAACCACCAACACTCTTCCAAGAGCTGGCCGCCCGGCCAAACTGAGCAATCGGTGGAGAAGGGCCTTAGTCAGGGAGGTGACCAAGAACCCGATGGTCACTCTGACAGAGCGCCAGAGTTCCTCTGTGAAGATGGGAGAACCTTCCAGAAGGACAACCATCTCTGTGTGTAGATTGATGAGAACATTTTTTATTTTTTTTTATCACTGTTAGAATAAGGCTGTAACGTAACAAAATGTGAAAAAGTCAAGTGGTTTGAACACTTTCCGAATGCATTAAATATACATTGATATACCCTATAAAATCGAGCACACAGCCATGCAATCTCCATAGACAAACATTGGCAGTAGAATGGCCTTACTGAAGAGCTTAGTGACATTCAACGTCGCACCGTCATAGGACGCCACCTTTCCAACAAGTCAGTTCGTCACATTTCTGCCCTGCTACAGCTGCCCCTGTCAACTGTAAGTGCTATTATTGTGAAGTGGAAATGTCTAGGAGCAACAGCAGCTCAGCCGCGAAGTGGTAAGCCACACAAGCTCATAGAACGGGACCATTGAGTGCTGAAGAGCGTAGTGCATAAAAATCTTCTGTCGTCGGTTGCAACACTCACTACCGAGTTCCAAACTGCCGCTGGAAGCAACGTCAGCACAAGAACTGTCCGTTGGGAGCTTCATGAAATGGGTTTCCATGGCCGAGTTGCCACACACAAGCCTAAGATCCCCATGCGCAATGCCAAGCATCGGCTGGAGTGGTGTAAAGCTCGCATTGGAC